TATATATATATATATATGTAATGTATGCTCACAGTTATGATAGGGAGCAATGGACCAAAAACTTCTTCTGTCATAATTGCAGCTTGCACCGGAGGATCCAGTAATACTGTGGGCTCAATGAACCTGCATTCGAACTTGTGCATTAAATTTGGCAACTTTTAAAGCAACAAAAGATAATATACTATTTATTATATATAAGTGTGTTTGGGACAAATTAAAGGACTGATAAATATTTTCAATTATGGGGTTCTATAAAGGTTCCGTTATCGAAAAATATTTCTCAAGGAAAATATTTTCTATCAAAAGTGAATAATGGCTTTTCTCACTTATGGGCGAGAAATATTTTTCTTTAAAAATTGTCAACTCTTACTCTATATTATTTCCTCTAATCAATACTTTAAAAAGTGCCAAGAAGAATTATGAATTATGCTGATATATGCTTGTAAGGTTTCACCCTGATTACTTATATTTCTCCTTTGTGGTTTATTAATAAAACCTTACAAGGTTCTATGCATGGGTAGGGGTATCAATGAGCGGGTTGGACTGATTTTGGACGGGTCAAAATAGGCTGAGTCAATAAATGGATGGGTCAATGACCCGCCCAACAGTTACTTTGGCTGAGAGTAGCTAGGTCAAGATGGACTAAAATTTGGATCATAACCCAATCCGGCCAACTCTTATCAAGCTTTAATTAATGTGCTGTATTTTCTTATCGATTGTTTAATTATCAATAAGACTTTTTTCTTTTGTTATGGTCATATATAACATATCAAACAAAAAAAAATTATTTTAAAAATATTTTAGCAAAGTTACTTATGTATCAATTTGGGTTAAAAATCAGCCCAACTTTAAATAGACTGAAATGGATTGAGTCAAGATTCAACAAATTGACGGATCAATGACCGGCCCAACCTTGAGTGGATTGGGCGAGTCAAATGGGTTCGGACTCAAATTCCAACCCATAAGTGCGGGTGATTTAACTTAAAGAAAGAAACTTACTTGATCAATAGACAACAATATACTACAAAGATTTGGATATCAAAACTCTAGTTCAAAAAATCATAAATTTTCAAAGAGTTGACTAGATTGAAATGAAAATGTTGGAAAAAGTTACTCACAGATTATCTTCATCGGTTAAGCCTCCATGTACGACTGAAGATTTTACCATTGGCTCATCTAAAAGATTCTTTAACCTCAAGAAATGAGTTCTATTAATGATCCTCGCAATCGAATGTGATTCTTTTGGATTTTCTCCAAATGTTTTTGGGATGGCAAGTTTAATCAATTTTACCTATTGCAAATATTAACATGCAAATTATTAGTATTTCAAGAGAAAGCAATAGTATTCGTCAAAATTATTAGTCATGAATTTTCTTAGTATGTCAGAAATTTACTTGTTACAGTAGGTTAAGCTTTGTGACTTTACTATTATACAGTTCTTAAGATTCAATGACTTATATGTGAGAAAAAAAAAGTACGTACTTTCTTAGAGTTTATATGGCCTTAATGAGAAAATTTTATTTTCATACAAATATAAAATGTGAGTTTTTTTCACGTTGCAACGCATTACGCATGTATAAGAGGCATTATCATTAGTACATTAGCGATGTTATGAAACTATTAATAATACCTGAATTTATGTTATTTTAATTATTAAAGAAATAATAAACGATCAACTTATCTGAACAGCGCAACCGCAGCAATTTCTAATACGTACCAACTCGTTGGCATACGTCTTGTCGACTAGGATATAATCAATTCCAATGCATGCTTGGCCAGCACAAGCCCCAAATTTCCCAGAAAGAATTCTTTTCATTGCAATCTATGAAAAAGTAAAAGAAAAAAAAAACAGATATTAGTCAAAACCAGTATACGATAAATAAAGCAAGGGCCAAGAAGAATTCACTAACAAAATTTATAAATAAAATAAGCAAAACCTGCTTCACACAATTTATGTGAGCCGTCTTTCTTCTGATCATGTGTAAAAGAAAAGTTATTTTTATACGATATTTTTGTAGCAATTTCTTATTCTAACTTAACACAATATATATATA